ATCAATATGTGTGGTGAAACTCTGAATACTGTCTCTACAGAAGTTATAAAACTCATGTATCGTGGACTGGTACAATCAAGGATACAGTATGGTTGATCTTCTGGGGTAACTATACATATACTGACCGCATTTTTAAGGTTCAGAAAAAAGTCATTCGCTGTATGGACAAGTCTCGTCCACTGGACTCTTGTAAACCATTGTTTAAAAAATTTAACATTCTACCATTGCCGTGCCTATACATATTACAGCTAGTGTTATTTATCTGTGATAATAAACACCTATATCCAAAAAACTCTGATATACATAATTTAACAAAAAAGTATTAAAATACTAGAGCAATTCCAAAAATGTATTGATATACGGGGTATTCCATTTAAAAAAATATAATTGCTAGAACTTTTTGATAGAAGTGGCAACGCCGCAATGCTGAAAATATTTTAGATCGATAGAACAGGTAAGGAAATGTGAGAGGTGAAATTTTCAGAAAAATCATGACTTGCGTTTTCCAGAAACGTCTAACCTACCATCGACCGTGAGTCACGCTGTAGAATAGAATACTTCAACGGCTATTGAACAAGCTCTGGATTTTATCTATGAACAGCTTAACAGCAAGAAGAATGTACTAGGTATATTCTATGATTTAACTCGTGCATTTGATGTGGTTAACCACAACTTACTCTTTCGTAAATTATACAGCATAGGAATTCGTGGTATACCACATGATTAGATAGTAACATATTTGACAAATCGTTCTCAAGTGACAGTAATAAATAATAGTAAATCTGACTGTAAGATTGCTGAGTTAGGAGTGCCCCAGGGGTCTATATTGAGACCAACTCTTTTTATAATATTTCCAAATGACATCTACGATACCTGTACCACACCAAATAGAATGATACTTTATGCTGATGGCACAAATATACTCTTAGCCCATAAAAACTTGGAAAGTCTGGTAAACTTGGGTAATTATGCATGTGATGAATTCAGTAAATACTGTAGCGACAATGACCTTATCTGCAATATAAAGAAAACTATGTTTATCAATTTTATACCCAAAAACGGTACCTCGAATCCAGATCTAATGAACAACATCAATATGTGTGGTGAAACTCTGGTTGGAGCCGCTGATGTATAATTTCGTATTTCACACATATACCATGTTGCGACAGTTACCGCGATTCTGCAATCTACCACCCATGTGGCCATCACCACCACCTCTCCTCCAGTTGCCTCGGTCGTTGTTCATCCTCACCTAGTTGTTACCGTTACCCCGTCGAAAACCACCGCTACCTTCGCCTCTACCCCGGTCGGATTTGAGATTGTTGTTGAAGTTTTTCGAAGAAAACCTATTTGGAGGACCAACAAGGTTGCTGAACATCGGGAAGTGCGGTCCATGTTCCTATCTATGGTGGCATATTGTTGAACTGGGGAACTGGGAAAACCTAGGAAAGAGGATGGCAAGAGGATGGTGGCATATTGTTGAACTGGGGAAACACAGGTTCCGGCAAAGGGGCAAACCCCTTCGGTTTGGGCCATGGCGTCGAAATAAAATCCAACACCGGGCTACGGGATCCTCTAGAGGAATGTGCACCGGGTTGCTTATGACGTGGTTTTCCTGAATGGGTTCCTCGGGGCTATCTGGAATTTCAGTTTTCACCGGTTTCTCCTCGGCATGATTGGAAACGGCGGGTGCGATGTGCTCCGAACCAAGAGGTGATGTATTCGCCCTCGTTGGCGTAGGGGAGGATGTTGAAATACCATCTTTGATCCTAGTGGGTGTTCGTTTTATCTTCTTCGTTTGTTTCTTGGTTGCAGCCGCTGATGTATAATTTCGTATTTCACACATATACTCTGTTGCGACAGTTACCGCGATTCTGCAATCTACCACCCATGTGGCCACCACCACCACCTCTCCTCCAGTTGCCTTGGTCGTTGTTCATCCTCACCCAGTTGTTACCGTTACCCCGTTGAAAACCACCGCTACCTTCGCCTCTACCCCAGTTGGATCTGAGATTGTTGTTGAAGTTTTTCGAAAGAAACCTATTTGGAGGACCAACAAGGTTGCTGAACATCGGGAAGTGCGGTCCCTGTCCCTATCGATTGTGGCATATTGTTGAACTGGGGAAACCTAGGCAAGAGGATGGTGGCATATTGTTAAACTGGGGAAACACAGGTTCCGGCAAAGGGGCAAACCCCTTTAGTTCGAGCCAAGGCGTCGACCTAAAATCCAACACCGGGCTCTCGGGATCCTCCGAAGGAATATGCTCCGGGTCGCTTATGACGTGGTTCTCATGAATGGGTTCCTCTGAGCTATCTGGAATCTTACTTGTGATGAAATAGAGAGTTTGAAGGACACTCTTTTCCCTGGCCAACTGGATGTCTTTCTCCAAACTTTCATTGCCCGGTACGACGAGAGGATCATCGTGCTCTATTATAGAGGGGACCCTCCACATGATCTGCGTCTCCAATATATCTACGCGCGGGAGCGGACCGTATCCATCGTTAATTGGGTTCTGCGTAAACATATTTGGGTTCATTTGGTTGTTGGACGGTCCCATGTCAGGAATGGTGGGATTGTATGGCCATGGGCTCATCATATTGGGTTCCGTGGGACTCTCTTCGAAGTAGCGGATCTCCACCAGGTCGGCCTCGTTCTTCCAGGACATGGATCGCTTGGGTTCCTTCTTCTTCGCGTTGAGCAAAATACCTTTGAGTTCATCACCAATCTTTTAGGTGCGCAATGCTGCTTTTTCCGGAGTTTCATTGGTGTGAGTTGCTGAAGGTGAACTACCAGATAGTTCTTCTTTCCCCTTACCCTCAACATCGGTCTCCGATTTTTCCTCGGCATGATTGGAAACTGCGAGTGCGATGTGCTCCGAACCAAGAGGTGATATATTCGCCCACGTTGGCGTAGGGGAGGATGTTGAAATACCGTATTTAATCACAGTGGGTCTTCGTTTTCTCTTCTTCTTTTTTTTCTTGGTTGCAGCCGCTGATGTATAATTTTACGTAAATCATAAATTAATTCAGAAAAGTAATTGAAAGTTTTTGATTCCAGGTAAAAATTCCTATCTTAATGACCTTGGGTGACTACAGCTTATGCTTTTAATGATGGGATCTATAATAAGAGGTACATTTCGCACCAATATTCAAAACAGGTAAAAGTTTTGAGGCTCATTTGGCGCCTCAGGTATCGATCAACAACCCGATAGGTAATGTTGATGAATTTCAGTTTACTGAAAGTTTAGATAGAATGGGAAACAGGTACTTCGACTTGAAAATTTTCGACTGAAAATTTGGGTGCTTTTTCGATATTAAATCAAAATTAGGGGAAAAATAAATATTTGAATTCCAAAAATTACACTATATTTGGGACATGAAATAGTATGTTTTCACCTAATGTGGTAAAAAAAATTATAGAAGATAAAAATAGAAAACCAAAATATCGGGTTCAATGATTTACCAAATCATATTTGATATGGTGCCATTAATTTTTATGCTGACGATACCATTGTTACTCTGTCGGGTGTTACTGAGGAGGAACTTCACCACAAAACTCAGATAATGCTTGACGAAAAATATGCGTGGTGTCAAAGAAATTAACTTAACTTAAACCATGGGAAAACGCTTGTTATGAATTTTAACCTTGGGAGATCATTCACACCCGGCTGTAATTTTGTTTTATCCGAAACAACTAAGTTTGATGTGCCAAATGTACACTGTTGTATCAAATATTGGTAAATAAATACTCTATTCTATTCTATTCAATTCAATGCCACGAAAACCCAGTCATCGGTTTTCTCCAGGAATATGAATGTTTCTGAACCGGATATAATAATGTTAAGACAGATTATTTCACTTTCTGCTTCGATATGTTTGTTGGGGGGTTAAAATGGACACCAATATGTCTTGGCACAATCATAGATACTTTCTCGGGAGGTGTTCAAGTGACTTCCTTTTATTTTTGTTAATTTTCAAAGGGTTTCATTCTACTACTATTTTTTTGTTGCAGTTGATTCGGTAGGATGTATAACTGCGCCATCTGCAGACAATACCCGGAAGCAATTCCACACATTTTTTTTTCAGCTTTTATTGTCCAAACAGGCACTAGACTCAATTACAGCACACAATATACAATTTTAGGATGAAAGTGTTGAATATAGAAAATATATACATATTATATCAGTAGTAGAGAAAAAAATATTACAATATCAAGTAAGTGAGTAATGATTTGCAGAACATAATACACAGTTTTGGGATGAAATTGTTGAAAATACTATTATTAGGCATACATATATCGTAAAAATTATACCTTCACTGAAAAAAAAATTAAATGATTATTTGTTGCTTCTCAAACAGAATGGTTTTTATCTCTTTTTCGAAAATATTCAATGGTGTTGAATAAATGCCTACTTTCTGACACAGTTGACTGAATTTATAGCAAATAAGGGGTGGGAGTCAGAATATCAAACGAATATATTCCGGAAAGGTGCTTATGTGTGTTTTGGTAAAAATAGCAAACCTCAGCCTCCCAGGTGAGATCTACTATTTTATAGGTACGTATGGCATTTACCCTTTTGTTTGAAGGTAGTTGACAATGTTTCAAGGACTTTCATTGTCTAATTGAAATTTGAATTACATTAAGTAAAAAAAAAACTGAAATTACAATGAAATACAAGTAACAATTTAAAATTGAACATGTGTAATGTGGCTGAGAAAATAAATAAAATATTCTCGTGTATTTTCAACACATTACTAGGACTTCTAGGAAATAAACTAGGAAAACATCCAATATACTCAAAATTATAATATTACTCGTCAGAAAATATGGTAGAAAAACGTAATAAATACTATACACACTTTACAAGTTGTCCTTTCAATTGGCACTGATACACAGTAATTATTAATATCACAATTATCGTGGACAGACCATCCGCAATCAAATATCAAATTTTATCTGCGCGACAAATCTCACGCTGTTCGTCGTTACATATAAAACTTCACGGATGTACGAACCGACAATTATGCCTGTTCCGACAGTATCCGTGATTCTGTACGTTTTTACACAACCTTCCACCCCTGTGGTAGCCACCACCACCACCTCTCCTCCAGTTGCCTCTGGTGTTGTTCACCCTCACCCAGTTGCCACCGTTGTTTCCGTTACCCCCTCGTAAACCACCTCTCCTGTGATTGGGTCTGTGAGGAAACATCGCACCTTGCGGGAACACATTTGGGTGCATTTGGTTCTTCATCATCATGTCGTTGGGCGGTCCCACGTTGGGACGGTTGGGGCCCGGTCCCATCATATTGCCACCAGGCATCACATGTGGAGGAACGAAATTGTAGGGAATTCCTGGTCCCATCGGCCCGCCTGGACCAACGAACCTAGGGGACGTGCCTTGAAAAGGGGGAGGCGGCCTACTATTGAATTGGGGGTTGAATGGAACCTGGATGCTCATCAACACCGGCTGCATCACAGGTTCAGGTGCCATTCCCTTCGGTTCGGGCCAAGGGCTCGAACTAAAATCTAACACCCGGCTCTCGGGATCCTCCAGAGGAATGTGCACCGGGTCGCTCAAGACACGGCTCTCCTGAATGGGTTCCTCTGGTTCCTCTGGAATCTCACTTTTTTTGAAATAGACAGTCTGAAGGACACTCTTCTCCCTGGCCAACTGGATATCTTTCTTCAAACTTTCATTGCCCGGTTCGACAAGAGGATCATTCTGCTCTATGATGGTGGGGACCCTCCACATGATTTGCGCCTTCATGATATCTACGCCGCAGAGCTTGCCGGAGAGCTGACCGGATCCTTCGCTTATCGAGTTTTGCTGGAACATAATTGGGTTAATGCGGTTGTTGGACGGTGTCATGTTAGAAATGGTGGGATGTTTAGGGCATGGGCTCATAATGTTGGGCTCCTTGGGGCTCTTTTCGAAGTAGCGGATCTCCACCAGGTCGGATTCATTCTTCCAGGAAATGGATCGCTTGGGTCCCTTCTTCCTCCCGTTGAGCAAAATACCTTTCAGCTTACTACCGATCTTTTTGGTGTCCAATTCTGCTTTCTCCGGAGATTCTTCGGCAGAAAATGCTGAAGGTGCGATGTTTTCGGAGCCAAGAAGTGATGTATTTGCTTCATTCTTCCAGGAAATGGATCGCTTGGGTCCCTTTTTCTTCGCGTTGAGTAAAATTCCTTTGAGTTCACCACCGATCTTTTTGGTGTCCAATCCTGCTTTCTCCGGAGATTCATCGGCAGGAATTGCTGAAGGTGCGATGTTTTCGTAGCCAAGAAGTGATGTATTCGCCCACGTAGGCTTAGAGGAGGATGTCGAACTACCGTCTTTGGTCACAGTGGGTGTCCGTTGTCTCTTCTTCTTTTGTGCCTTGGTTGCAGCCGCTATAATGGTATCCATAAACAGGCTGCTCTCTCGCAAAAAGACCGCAGATAATTTAGGTGGAAGCCTTTCAGGATTGTCGATATTGTCCATCTTCAATTTCTTTCCTGGCGGTTCGATTGAGTCGTTGTCCCCTGAGGGGGACGGGCGTTTTATAGGAGCCGTCCGTAGCTGCAATGAAAGATTTTCACTCTTCTCTTTGCTAGAGCTACTGCTGGACTTTATACTGGCATTGGATTTGCGCATATCCTTACCATTTCTTCCTTTCTCATCTACTGAACTACTGCTTCGGTGTTTACTGGAAGAACTGCTCTTAGATTCCCTATATTTTTCTCTGTTTCTGTCCTTTTCTGTATCTATCCCTTCGTCCTGACTTTCGTTCTTATTCCTCTTTCTGCTTTCTTTCTTGTCAGCACTATTTCTTGACTTGGAGTTCCTTGATGAAAGGTTCCTGTGTTTCTCCTCAACTTTTAGTGGTTCTTTTTTAGCTGTAGCTTCTGGTTCTTCTTTAGAAATTTGTCTATTTTTCAAACTCATTTTCTTTTCCGCAGGAAAATAGGTACTCCTGTCCCTATTCCGATCTTTGCTTTTTTCCTTGTCCTTGCTACTACCAGACTTACTGCTGGAACTATTTTTAGAATCCCTTGACGAAGATTTACTCTTATCCTCCCCAGCGTTTAGTAGTTCTTCTTCAGCTGTCGCTTCTGGTTCTTCATTAGAAAGTTGTCTTTTATTCAAACTCATTTCCTTTCCCGCAAGAAAATAGGGACTCTTGTCACTATTCCTATCTTTGCCTTTTTCCTCGTCCTTGCTACTACCAGACTCACTGATGGATTCATTTTTAAAACTCTTTGATGAAGATTTACTCTTTTCCTTCTCAGCTTTTAGTGGTTCTTCTTCAGCTGCTGCTTCTGGTTCTTCTACCGAAAGTTTTCTATTATTCAATCTCACTTCTTTTTCCGCAGGCTTGTGGAATGTTTCAGTACTAACCGATTCCAGTTCTACACCTTTTTCTACTTTAGGCACAGGTTTCATATCGACAATAGTCGTATCGTCATTAAAAGTTTCATTTGCATCAGATGTCACTACGGCTTGTTTAAGAGGAAGATTGTTGGATTCCTCATTATTCACCTGCCAACGCAGTCCATTATGAAGCGAAAAAATGAATTGGGGCAATATTTTATCACTCATTATGTCACGACGATAAAGTGACTCTCTAATTTACAAGTATCTATATACTTTTGTGACAAAATATAATCATAAACTGATGTGTTGATAGTAGAGCTCAAAGTTATATATAGGTTTTGATGCTACTCAGGTACTCAACATATCAACATTGGTAATGGACAGGTACCTGTAAGTCAGGTACCTGTGAGTCAGGTACCTGTGAGGCAGCAGTAGATTTTTAGATGAAGTGTGAGATATTGATGCCCACCAATACACCCTTTAAAAGTAGTTACAATAAATAATGGAAATACCAATGTTATATAATATTACAAGTAGGAGTTTTAAATAACAATAACCCCGAATAGCGGATCATGAAGCCCAATATATTATAATTCATAAAGATTTCAACGCCAGGCAAAACAGTTCATTGATACCATCATTAAATCTTTACCTCAGATGGACATGGATGATTTAATTAATTTAAAAGAATTTCCAGTACCTTGTAGCTCCTTTTTTCTCGACCCCGTCATCGAACAGGATATTATGAGCGCGATTGATTGTTTGGAACCTTCAAACTTTTTAGATGACCAGAATTTGAACGCTCGTATCATCAGGGAAACGCTACAGGTGTTTTTCCTGGCGCTCTCGAATATGCGAAAGTAATTCCAGTTTTCAAGAAATAGGACCCATGTTCCCTGGACAATTACAGGCCCATACCTGTCATCTCTATTTTTTCCAAGGTGGTTGAAATAATAATGAAAAAGCGTTAAGTTATTTGTATCTAATGACTAAATGTATTCAAAAATTCACTTTGAAAATGGAAAAAGAATATTTTCGAAAATTTTACCCTCCAAAGAAGACTAAGTAGATATAGAAATATTCAGTTTACTCTTTATTACACTTCAGCAGGTTCTATTTCGATACTCCAAAAATATGTTCTTTCAATTAATATGTCCATACTTTTCTTAACTAATGTATAATTTCACATGGATGGAAGTCGTAAAATAATTTTGAAAAATAATTAAAATTTCTTGATTTTAGGTAAAAATTGCTTGACCTAGGATGACTACAGGTTATGCTTTTAATGATGGGATCTATAATAAGAGGTACATTTCGCACCAATATTCAAAATTGGTAAAAATTCTGAGGTACATTTTGCGCCTTAAGTATCAATCAAGAATTTGGATAGGTAATATTGATGAATTTGAGTTTACTTGAACTTTAAATAGAATGGTAAACAGGTATTTCAACTTGAGAATTTTCCATTGATAATTAGAATGTGAAAAAAATTAGATACAAATGTTTAGATCTTTGTTTTTACCTACAACTTTGCTTCTCAACTTTCCATAGGACTTGTAGTTTTGCCAGAAATCGCGATAAACCATTTTTTACCTTTAAAAATTGACCCCTTCCACTTCCCTACCTCAGATCGCCCGTGAATTAATGTTCCTTTTATTTTTGTCATTTTCCAAAGGGTTTAATTCCACTCCTATTTTTTTGTTTCAAAAATTATCGGCACTGGACTGTAAACTCCGTTTCTGAGATACGACGAGTCAAAAAGTTGTAAAAGTTGTAATCGTCATTATATGCATAAGTATGCCATATATACATCTCTGAAGTTGTAATTTAAGTAAAAATATTTTTCTATTGGTATACATAAGTATAAATATAAGAATATCAGGTAGAATGAAATCCAGTCCCTTAATTTGTACGCTAGTACAAATTAAGCTTGAGCCAACATCTGTCTCCCTGTTCAATTGTGTGAAAAACAATGTTTGAAAAACAAGATTTAGTTTAATGTGCTGAAGTTTTCAAAAAAAGTAATTCGACTCAACAAAAAATTATCACCAACGGGATTCAGTTTCTTCTTTCTATGTACAAAGCTCCGAAAAAAACCACCTGCTCAGATAAGTATCGATATGCATGTTTCGTAAAAACACTAAAAATAAGAAACGGATGCAATTAGCTTGTCTTCCTTCAACCTCAATTGCTGCTCAGCAACATCGTTTCCGGGTATATTACCAAGTTCAAGAGTGGGTTGGTTATCAGCTAGACCCAAAAGACTGGGGTTGGAAGTTGGTCGACAATGCATTAGAACCTATTCAGAGTTTACTCCCACCTGCGCCGGAAAAACTGCTGTACACAATTTTTGCAACTGTAAAACGGGATGCAGCGCTAAATGTGGTTTTAAAAAAGTTGGATTGTTGTGTTCCTGGCATGTACACATTGTCAAGGCCAGTCATGTTCTAATGCTGAATCACCAATAGTGGAGGATTCATTTGATACCAACGAGGAAACATGCGATACATCACTCTTGACGCAGTTTACCTACACCCAGGATGAACATCAAGACGAAGAAGATCAAGAAATATACATTTTTTGTAGAGAATTTTATGATCTACAATTTTTATTTGAAATTATTTCATGATGAAACTTACCGTTTTCCTGAAAATCGCGAAAAATCAATTTTTTCGAGATGTTTGACCTTTGACCTCGAATAAATTTTTTTCCAGGCATTGCAATCATTCGGAATTTTAAAATCTCATTTTTAACTATGTTTCGAACAATTACACGCGTTTGCAGCTTGTTGTAAATCTATGTACCCACCAATCTCTAGATTGACCGGATTATACAATATTAACAGAAATTGAAATACAATATTAATAATAATATTTATTTGACAATATGTTTGTAGCAAGTCATGTTTTGCTTTACATTTAAAATTTACAAGTTAAAATTTACAATTTACATTATAATGTAGGCATACAAAATGTCGAATTAGAACAGTGATTTCATCCCTATCTGAGATCTATCTCTCGGGATTCTCCAGAGGAATGTGCATCGGGTCGATTATCAGGTGGGTCCTTCGAGGCTATGCCCTCCTCTTGTCGAAATCAAGAGCTTGTATTTCACACATATACCCTGTTGCGACAGTTACCGTGATTCTGCAATCTACCACCCATGTGGCCACCACCACCACCTCTCCTCCAGTCGCCTCGTTCGTTATTCATCCTCACCCAGTTGTTACCGTTACCCTTTCGAAAACTGCCGCTACCTCCGCCTTTACCCCAGTTGGATCTGAGATTGTTGTTGAAGTTTTTCGGAGAAAATCTATTTGGAGGTCCACCAGGGTTGCAGAACATCGGGAAGTGCGGTCCCTCTCCGTATCTTGCATTCATCGAAACTAGTAGGAATGCCATGGCAAGAGGAAGTGGCTTATTGTTGAACTGGGGTAACGCAGGTTCCGGCAAAGGGGCTAACCCCTTCGGTTCGGGCCAAGGCGTTGACCTAAAATCCAACACCGTGCTCTTGGGATTCTCCAGAGGAATTTGCATCGGATCGCTTATGACGTGGTTCTCCTGAATGGGTTCCTGCTCTATGATAAAGGGGACCCTCAACATGATCTGCGCCTCTATTATATTTACGCGGGAGAGCTGACCGTATCCATCGTTAATTGGGTTCTGCGGGAACATATTTGGGTTGATTTGGTTGTTGGACGGTCCTATATTAGGAATGGTGGGATTGTTAGGGCATGGGCTCATCATATTGGGTTCCTTGGGGCTCTATTCGAAGTAGTGGATCTCCACCAGGTCGGCTTTTAGTGCACATAACAGTCATGGGAGTTTTAAATAATTAGTTGGTGTGAGGTCTATTGCATACAAAACTGCAGGCTTTTCTAGTTGTTATTTGAGGAACGAAGATTTTTATAGGTCAATTTTATATATTTATAATTACATGCTCAAACAATCTGGGCGTTCGAAAGCTCATACAAAAACACTACAGAATTTTTCGATGTATTTCCAGTGACATAAAATTTAAGATGAGCAAAAGCTCGAAGTATTCTGAATCTCTTCGTGAATAAAATAGAATAGAATTTATTTCACTACATTAAATACAAAAATGTTTGTAACAAGTCCGTACAATCAATTGAATTCAAACGCTGGGGCACTAGAATATAAGTAATGGATAAATAAAAACATATAGATTATAAGAGTTCGATAATGTTACTTAGTTGTCAAAGTAATCAAGTAATGGAAGATTCACGTAAGTGTTTCAGATATTCATCTACAGAGTAGAAACAATGTTTAAAAAAATACTTTTTCAGAGCTTTCTTGAACATGGACAAACTAAGATTTTTATACTCCTGGGGGAGGTTATTATAAAGCGTACAATCAAGACTATTTTTTTGAGATTTATTTAATCGAAAATAATTCGTTCGAATTTATCGGCATGCCTGGTATTATAAGTGTGAATATCCGACTATTTTAAGAGACAGTTCGACTTCTTCTTTATTTCAATAAGCGCATTGAACAAATATATACTTGGTAAAGGCATTATTTTCATCTGAATAAATATGGTGTGCTCTATTATAGAGGGGACCCTCCACATGATCTGCGTCTCCAATATATCTACGCGCGGGAGCGGACCGTATCCATCGTTAATTGGGTTCTGCGGGAACATATTTGGGTTCATTTGGTTGTTGGACGGTCCCATGTCAGGAATGGTGGGATTGTTAGGGCATGGGCTCATCATATTGGGTTCCTTGGGACTCTCTTCGAAGTAGCGGATCTCCAGCAGGTCGGCCTCGTTCTTCCAGGACATGGATCGCTTGGGTTCCTTCTTCTTCGCGTTAAGCAAAATACCTTTGAGTTCACCACCAATCTTTTCGGTGTGCAATGCTGCTTTTTCCGGAATTTCATTTTCGGGAGTTGCTGAAGGTGAAATACCAGATAGTTCTTCTTTCTCCTTACCCTCAACATCGGTCTCCGGCTTTTCCTCGGCATGATTGGAAACTGCGGGTGCGATGTGCTCCGAACCAAGAGGCGATGTATTCCCCCACATTGGCGTAGGGGAGGATGTTGAAATAC